TTTTTTTTTTTTTTTTTTTTTTGAGACAGAGTCTTGTTCTGTTGCCAGGCGCCAGGCTGGAGTGCAGTGGTGCAATCTCGGCTCACTGCAACCTCCCCCTCCCAGGTTCAAACAATTCTCCTGCCTCAGCCTCCTGAGTAGCTGGGACTACAGGCATCTGCCACCACGCCCTGCTAATTTTTGTATTTTAGTAGAGATAGGGTTTCACCATGTTGACCAGGATGGTCTCCATCTCTTGATCTCATGATCCGCTCACCTCGGCCCCCCAAAGTGCTGGGATTACAGGCATGAGCCACCGCGCCCAGCCTGCTTCATATTTTTCACAATTAAAAAAAAAAAAAACACACCTGGAATAGGCCTTTCTATCTATTGAAAATAGCCTTTTCATATTTACGATTAAAAGGAAAATTATTTGGTGAAAGGTTTTTGGCAATTTAATAACCCTTGACACGAACTGCAAAGCTGCTTTCCAAAAGGAATGTCCTAATCACAATACAGGAGAATCAGTTTGCTTTATTTTACACTTACTTCTACTGGGTTATTATCATTAAACCTTTAATTTTGCTATTTGAGAAACATATAAGCATGTCTTAGAAGTCATATCTCCTTAAAAAGAAAAAAAAAATTCCTATCTCCTTACCAACAAGTACAAGATAATACTGCCTTTGTAGAATGACTTAAGAGTGTACTAGGGAATTTCATTTCCGCTTAATCCATATCCTGTAAGTCGTCATTATTTCTATGAGGTGGGAACCTAAATTTCAGAAAAGTGGTTTGTTCAAAGTCATACATCTACTAGGTAAAATGTTTAAAAGAAGAATGGACTCTGGCGCCAGCTTTGTGCTTGTGAATCTTATTCCACAGCTCTGTAACCGTTGGGAAGTATTCGAACCCTGCAGCCCTCGATTTCCTCATGTATGAAATAGGGATAACAGTACCTACCTAAAAAGGATATTGTGACTATTAAATGAGTTATTCTATGTATTCTAGTGCACGAAAGCACTTAGCGTAGTATTTGCCACATAAGTGCTATCTAAATGTTAACCGCTGTTATCATTCAGATGGTGGCAAACTACGTGTTTTTAAGGGAGCTTAATTTTGTCGCATGTCTACACCAACTGTGTGATCCATGTTTTTACCGGGTACTATCATTTAACCTTCCCAATTCTTTAAGACAGAATTTTACGTTCATTTCTGCCCATTTTAGAGCTAAGGAATAGGAAGTTCCGGGAAGTAAAAAGTAGTGAAATCTCAATCTGCAGGTGACTAAAGCTAGGAGAAGTTAAGTCACTTGACCCAGCGGCAAAGACTGGGACTCGAACCCGGGTCTGATCCCAAAGCCGGCGCTCTAGAGGGCTACGACGATTTAAACAGAAACACCTCCAGAGACCAAGCGGCTGTATTAACGGGAAGCTTAGGTGTTCCTGCACCTCTGTCCCAGCATTTTAATGTCGCCGCATTGTCTTTGTCTCTTTTTGAGCAGTTTTACAAGTCCCTGGCCTGAAAACCCCCTGTCCCTCTCCATCCCCACAGTGGACTCCTCAGGTCCTCAGCCCTCACCTGGCCGGGTCGAGACCCGGACCTGACCATCTCTCGCAGCCTCAGAGAAGCCCAGATCGAGGGAAGTGAAGCCTGACGGTAGAAAGAATTAACCGCCTTGGGCTCCCGGACCTTCTTGGCCCGCCCCCCGAGCTTCCGCTTCCGGAAAGGATCCCGCCCAACGCCGCGCTTCCTAGTCTCGGATGCCACTCCACCGCCTTTCTCCTGCTCCAGGACCCGCGACTTGGGCGTGCGCAATAGATCCCTCCCGGCTTCCCGGCTCGTCGCCCGCCGGCAGACGGTGAGAGAAGCCAATAGACGGCGAACGGGGCGGGGCCGAGGCATGGCTAGGGCGGGGCCGGGGCGGGGCCGCCGAGAAAAGGGTTGAGCGGTGCGGTTCTAGGGCTTGCGGTGGGGGAAACCGGGAGGAGGACCCGCGAGCGTCCGACGAAGGGACAGGGGTAGGAGGTGGATAGGTTTCAGAAGGCATTGCGCACAACTTTTTGGGTTTTCGCTCTTTATGTTTAGTTTGGCATTTCGTGTGCCTTTGGATGATTTTGTTCTTGATACTTATAAAAATAAGACCCCCGGGTTATCTTTCCGTAAGTATGATGGCAATTTCAGAATTATTCCCTGTGGCCACTGATCTCAGAACGGTGTCGTTAGTTGAGATTTTGGGTTTACTTCCATGCGTACGTGTCTCCTCTTGCGTTGAGGCAGTTACTTTTGATGAAGAATGACACAGCATTCCTAGCATTGCATGCTGCACTCATTTTAATGGGGATTTTAGTCATTGGTTTTTAAGGCATTAGGTTTTGGGTTAATGATTTAAATCAAGTTGAAGAGAGATAACTCAGTTGATTCCATTTCAACTGTTGTCCAGGCTGGAGAGCAGTGGCACGACTTCGGCTCAATGCAACCTCTGCCTCCCAGGTTCCAGCGATTCTCCTGCCTCAGCCTCCTGAGGAGCTGGGATTACAGGTTTGCACCACCACGCCCAGCTAATTTTTGCATTTTTAGCGGGGTTTCACCATGTTGGCCAGGCTGGTCTCCAACTCCTGACCTCAGGTAATCCGCCCACCTTGGTCTCCCAATATTCGGGGATTACAGGAGTGAGCCACCACGCCCGGCCTCATTTCGTTTTAATAGAGAAAAGAGCTACCCTTTAAAAGTCTGTTACAATTAATGTCAAAACCCGGGAACTAAAATATGTCCACCAATATGTCACACACTTATCCTGAGTGATTTTAGGAAACTTGAGTATTTCACAAATTTAGTTTTGAATTAGATCCAACTGTGAAAACCTCTCCTTTCCTTCCCCAGCCCTCTCATAATTTCATAACTTTCTAACATATTCACCCAAAATTAAGGACTTTTCTTTTGGTTAAGTTGATTTTTTTTTAATTCGTATTGATTTTTCTTAATACATGTGTATTTTAGAAAATATGGATAAGCAAAAAGGAAAAGACCTCATTACCCCTGAGTTATCACTCTGATAACTCAGAACAGCTTGGTGCGTTCGCTTCAGGATTTTTTCCACCTATGTATATATGTATAAATGTATTACAACGATATGAAATAATAAGTATTACTGTAACATGAGTGTTTTAGTATCTAATGAACATTGTTTCTCATTAATCTACAATTACATTATGGCTGCCTGGTGTTCCATAATTCATTTCCCTAGTGTTGGGAATGCTGTGCCCCCACCCTCTTTTTCATTTTGTATTTGCTATTATAAATTATGTTGCACTGAGCTGAGATCTGCAAATTAACTAGATAGAGAGTGGAGAGCAGAGTATTCTAAAGATGTGGAGACAGCATGATGTTGAGAAAGGGAAACCCAAAGAGGCTCTTGCTGCTGAAGTATAGACAGTGGGGAAGTAAATGTATGTAGGGGCCAGACTAGGCAGTCTTTATTGGCTACATGATTTGCATTGTTATCCTAAGCCCCTTGGGAATATGCAAAAGTTCAAGCAGGGGGCACAGTGAACTAACTCGTGTTTTACAAAGATCCATGGCTGTAGTATACCGCATGAATCCGAAATCTACAGTCCCTGGCTAAATTCTGTCTGCCATTCTTTGATACAGCCTGAGAACACTTTTTACATTTTCAAGTAGTTTTTTTAAGTCTAAAGAATAATATTTTCTGATGTGAAAAAAAATAGATGGAAATCATCTCAATGTTATAAAGTTTTATTGGAACACAGTCACACTAATGTGTTTGCACATTGTGCTGCAACTGCTAAAGTTGAGTATTTGTGATAGAGACCGTCTAGCCTGCCAAGGCTAACATATATACTATCTGGGCCTTTACAGAAAACGTTTGCTGATCCCTTGCATAGAGGGTGCTTGGGGGAAAGGCAAGCATGGGTGTGAGCAAGTTCTCTCCTCCCGCATCCATTTTCTGCCCTTCTCTGTGCCCCAGGGACTGACATCACTCAGACATGCCCTCCAGCTTCAGGTTCTGTTTAGTCAGTAGAAGAGGGAGAAAATGGGATACTTCTATTCAGCACATTTGGCTGATCCATTGGCCCTCTGCATCCTTAGGGGAGCCCCTGGAGTTACAGTTCTCTCACACTCTAATAAAACGTCCTTTCCTTTGTCCCTCCAGTCTTAGGGATGATAATGATTTGCTAGTCCTTGGGTGCCTCAACCTCCTTGTTGTTTTCCTTGCCCATTCTGTAAACCTTTTAATTATCTTCAAAATCTATATTGTCTTCTGTTTCCTGTGAGTACCAGACTGATAGGAAGTCCAGATGAAATATATTGGTAGCTGGGAAGGGATGAGGGGATCTAAGGGAGGTGGTGGTGAGGAAATATGAAGAGAACGTATTTGAGGGATGCATAGGAGGTAAAATGGAGAGGACTTGCTAACAGAGTTGGAAAGTAAGGCAAAGGGGAGGTATCTGTTGACCCTGGTTTCTGGGTTTTGTATCTTGGTGGGTGGTGGGAGAGATCCACATTTAGGAAGGAAACTTGTGAACTCATTTCTCGCCAACATTTCATTTTTAAAAAAATGCAAACCAGGAAAGTCATTTTTTGATAAATTAGGGAGTACTTTGGAGTCATCCAAAGAAAGTTAGCTACTGGGTAGTTGAGTCTGGAGCTTGGCAAAGACGTGTGGGCTGCAGATACATCTTTCTGAGTTATCTGCGGCTTCAGAAGTTGTTCTCATATTATTTCCTCAGGAAAACCACTCTATCCTGCCCCTGCAAACTAGCTGTGTGCTCCAAACTACTATGTAGTAGCATCATTTCTCACAGTTAAAAACTTCTGATTAGTTATGTAATGTCTGTCTTGCTAAGTAGAATTTAATCTCTATGAAAGCAGGGACCTCACCTTGTTCAGAGCGGTGTCCCCAGTGCGTAGCCCAATCCCTTGCACATGGTAGGAATTTCTTAATTATTTGTTGAAAAAATCAGTGAATCAACCATTGTTTAGACTGCTTTGGTGCATTGGGCTGACAGCTACTTGAATGTCTGAAGCTCAGGATTATCCAGGACTAGCCCTTTGAGCCTGGTCTGGAGGTTTAGTCCCTCTAGTATCATGGATACACAACTCTGCTTATCTATCTAGTCTCATAATTCAGCACATTGGACCAATGACTTTGCCAGTTGGCTCGCCTCTGAAGTGTGAAAGTCTCCATTCAGGTTTGACCATGTTCCAGTTTATAGGAAATGACCAAAGTTGAAAGTATAGGAAGATCTAAACTAAAAACACAGATTTATGGCCAGGATCTAAGATTCAAAAAGTAAGAGGCTGTGGATAAGAAGCCACATGTTGGGAGCATGAGCTCAGTTCTGCTTGGAAAGATCTGAGGCTGTGTGCTGTTGCCTTTCCCCAAGCCACTTAGTGCTCTTTGGGACTGTTTCGAACCTAGAGATTCTTGGCCTTTTGAGATAATATACAACTTTGAGAAATTGCTCAAAGCTTTATAATTTTTTCTTCAGAAAAATGCTAACGAGCACATTTTGGAAACATATATATATATATATGTTATCAGAGGCGTTCAGGAGCCTCTCCAAGGATTTCAGGTTAAGATTCCTATTCTAACCTAATTTGAAACCAGCCTTCCACACTGGGGTGTCCAGCTCCTTCTGTTGCAGGGCCCTGGTGATCCTGAAAGTTGTTGGTTAACTAGGGATGGTAGGTCCCTGGTGGAAGAGCATCAAGGAGAGGAAGGGCATGGAGCATAGACAAAATGAAATTGAGACATAATCTTTGCATTTCCCACTGAAGCTTATGTATCTGCAGTCTTCACTTTAATCAAAACAGCTTAATTTAGGAAAGGAAAAGCCCACTGTTTTTGCTTTATAAAATCCTGATTTTATTGCTTCCTGAGAAAATGTCTAAAGGCGAAATACAAACCATATGTTACAAGGGCCTTCATTTGACAGTTTAACTGGGGTCACTCTAGGACTCTGTATATATTGCTGATTATGATAGGAAAGCCAGTGGGATGGGTCTGACAAGGATCTGTTGGCAGCAAGGATCAAGAGATCCCCTTTGGAATGATCTTATCACAAGGAAAAAATATTTGGGGACAATGTGCCATGTTTGTGGGTCAGGTGTGGATTTTAATACAGCACAATGACAGTCACTTACTGCCCCGCAGACCCTGAAGACTTGTGCTTGACCCAAAGAGAAACATTAACAGTAATTAAAATGTTAAAATTTTGTTTTATTAAAATATCTGTAAGGCAGTGTAGCAGATAAGGGTAGCTTCTTATGTTACCATCTATGACTTCCTGCCTTTTTTTCTGGAGCAAAAGGAGCAAGCTGAGGCAAGATGGAAAGGCAGAACATTAATGCCCCTGGAAGACACCCTCAGTCAATGACAGGTGGGGATTATCCAGTGACGGATGAAGAGCTTCCTCACCCCTTTGATTAGGATAACTCTGAGATGTGTTCTGTGCTGTCTCCCAGAGTTCCTCAGCAGTATTGGGGTACAGGGGTAACTGGCTGGATAACACACCATTTATTGGCTTTCTTCCCATCACTATAATATCTTATTCTTCTATCCCTGTTCCACTATTCATTAGATCGCCTCCTAAATAAACTATTTGCATGTAAATCTCTGTCCCAGGGATTATTTCAGGTGGGGGGTGGAAGTGTAGGAGGAATCCATACTTAAACAGGTACTGAGGATATATACGAGGCATCATAGGTTTGGAGTCAGATAGATCTGGATTCAGATTCTTTCTCACCAGTGACATTGAACAACTTAATTTATCTAAGATTGTTTCTTAGAGATGACACTG